GGACTGGCAAGAGCTTGGGGGAGTGGGAGGGTGGAGATGGAGGAAGGGCGGATATAGGAGCAGGGAAGAAGATACCTACAGTAAGGGATCCATTTTAGGGTTGGCAAGAAACTTGGCTCTAGAGGGGATCCCAGGTATCCATGGGGATGTCCCTAGCTAGGTCCTTGGACAGCAGAGGAGAGGGTACCTGAACTGTCCTTGCCCCACTATCACACTGATGATTATTTTGAATATCATCATAGAATCTTCGTCCGGAGATGGATGGAGATAGAGATAGAGACCCTCATCAGAGCAACGGACTGAGCTCCCAAGGTCCAGTTGAAAGGCAGAAGGAGAGAGAAGATGAACAAGGAAGTCAGGACTGCGAGGGGTTGGTCCACCAACTGAGGCAGAGTGCCTGTTCTAATGGGAGCTCATCAAATCCAGCTGGACTGGGTCTGAATGAGCATGTGATCAAACCGGACTCTCTGATTGTGGCTGACAATGGAGGCTGACTGAGAAGCCATTGATAAAGGCACTGGGACTTGTTTTTACGGCATGTTCTGGCTTTTTGGGACCCTAGTCTATATGAATGCACAGTTCTCTAGGCCTGGATGTAGGGGGAAGGGCCTTGGACTTCCCACAGGGCAGGGAAACTTCAAGCAGGGCAGGAGAGGGAGGAGGGGTGTGGGGGAGCGGGAGAGGATTGGGAGGAGGGAAGGAAGTGTAAATAATTGAATGGAAAAATAAAAATTAAAAAAGAATAAAAATATCAGATCATCCAACCTCAATGATAATTAATTGATCAAAAAAAAATAATGTATCTGCTACATTCTTATGGGGACCCACAAAAAATGGCTAATATCTATTATTTTCCATTACAGAAGACTGTATAAAGCAAGTCTAGAAAAATAAATAAATCCAACTATTCTTAGAAAACTGACAAGCACAGGAAATCTAGCAAAGTCAGTTCTCTCGTGATTACTCCTGGAGACCTAGCCACACACACACCAGACACTGGAGCCTGTGCTAGCCGTCCTCACAGGCCTTTAGAGGTCTAGGCTGTGCCCTGCATTAAATAGCACAGTCCTGAACAATTTCACTGTTCCCTGCCTTTTCCTCCTGATGTTTCTTAGACATTTACTTTTATATTAGGCATTACACAAATCATTCAAACTCCACTCTGGAAGAGTACCCACTTGCAGACATTTTCTTGGGCAATAAGAACCAATAAAAAACACAGAGGAACCCAACCACAGTCAGCTCTGAAGCTAAATGTACATTAAGTATCCTGGGCCTGTGTTTATAAAATAAAGACAAAAGACAAATCACTGAGCAATTTTCACTTAGCATGAACTCCTAATACTAAACAGGTTCACAGCCTTCTCAAAGACCATCACCAGCAGGGACTGAGTGCTCACACACATACACCTATCGAGCACGCTGTCATTCCAGCCACAGCACACACAGCCTCATGCTCACTCACACACATACACCTATCGAGCACGCTGTCATTCCAGCCACAGCACACACAGTCTCATGCTCAGTGCACACTCACCACAAAACCTGAAGGCGAGTGGAAGAGAAAACTGTTCGAGTAGTGAGCAGACCTCAGCAAATGGGACATCTGCATCTGTCCTGTGGTCTGGATTGTATCTGCTGTGTGCAGAAGTGTTTGCATTGTGTTTATTTTGTTTGTTATTTAGATAATACTACTTCAGGTATTAACTTTATTCTCAATGGAAAAATAAGAATTATTCCAATATACTTTATTGCAATGTTTGCTTTACTGCAGTGGCCTGGATCCACACCTACAAGACATTCACAGTGTGCCTGAATACAGAAAGCAAAAGGTTCAAAGGGGCACATTTACAAATAGCAACAGCAGAAAATAGGGGTGACTAAGCCAGTACCAGAAAAAGGGATTTTAAATTTAACAATAAGTACAAAGAGATGGCTCAGGGTTATAGTGCTTGCTGCTCTTCCAGAACACTGGAGTTGACTCTTAGCAACACATGGGTAGCTTAAAACCACCGGTAATTTCAGCTCCAGGGGATCTGATGCCCTCTTTTGGGTGCTATGGCCACTCATGTGCAGATACACACTTACATATTAATAATTTAAAAATGATCATGTATAATAAGACTTGTCAAACCTAAAGGGTCAATCCATCTGAATGACGAGACAGCCACACACACACATGCACCTAGTGATGAAACATCAAGTTTCTCAAAGACAAACTGCCATAGTCTAAGAAGACAACCAGGAGATCTGAAAGCAGGAGGTCCAAAAGAATATAGAACATTCATAGAAGCGTCAGCCACAATAAATGGTAGAAATCACCTAAAGGTCATCAACAGACAAATGAAATGCAGTATTTCCATACAATGAATCAATATCACAAGAAGTAAAATTTTGGCATATGAAAAAAAAATAAATGAATTAAAACATCTAAAAGCTAAGGTACAGCTAAGAAGAATTTAAAGATACAAATGACTGGACAAACATTTTGTGTTCATGGATCAAAAGGTTTTATCACGATTAGATGGCTGCATTTCTCCAAGTCAACATACAGAATCAACATAAATGCCATAGCAATTTAACATGAATTCATCGGAGAAATTGCCAAGCTGTCCCTAAAAGCCATATGTTATTATTATTATTATTTGTGACAACGAGGATAACTAAAACAAACATGAAATAGAAAGACTCAACTTCACAGCTTTTCAGTATGGCACTCACATGACAGATACTTTGATCAATGAAAGTTTAGAAGAAGAGTGGATGTGGATGTCCAGTTGGCAGGCAAGAGCGCCAAGACATTCGTATGAGGAAGCAGCAACACTGTGCTGCTGGAGAACAGTGGTGCTGCAGACTTGGTGTTCTTATACCACATAATTAACTCAATATGGACCAAAGACCTGACCAAGACAGCCTAAGTTACAGAACAAAGAAAATATAGGAAAAGCTTTGGGTGATACATGTTGGGTGTGGCACACACAGCACAGGCAACAGAAGGAAAGAGAGATAAACTGCTGAACTTACCACAGTTAAATTAATTTTAGGCATCAGACCAAAAAAAAAAAAAAAAAGAACAGGAAGAAAATATCAAATAACTCAAAAAGAACCCAACTGACCAATAAGCACATGAAAAGATACTCACTAGTAATTGTTAAGAAAGCACAATCAAACCCAGAAAGATGCTGCATCACACCATTATAATGCCTACTACTAAAAACAAGACAATGTCACAACATAGAAAACAATGAGCTAGGCAGAATATGTGGCCCTCATGCACTGAGAGTAGAAGTGAAAAGTTGTTTAAGTAACATAGAAAGTTCAACAAAATTCTAAACACAGACTCACCACATGACTAGCCTGGCTAAGCCATTCCTTGGGAGAAACAGAAACTTAACCAGATCACTGGAGGACAATGCCCACAGCTCATGACAGCAATAAGGGAAAACAACTCCGGCAGAGTGAGGGATAAGCAAACATGGTATGTACATACAGTGGATTATAATCTAGGCATAGAAATTAATAAAGTTCTGATACATGCCAGAACATGGGTAAATCTTGAAGACATTATATTAAATGAAATAAAACAGACATAATAGGACACATATTGAATGAGTCCACTTAGATGCATTCTTTATACTATGTAAATTCATTGAGACAGAAAGTTGCACAGTAGTTACCAGTGACTGAGACAAGAAGAACACAAGGAACTTTTATTTATCTACTGTTGGGAGCTGCAGACCCCTGGCCCCTTGACTTTCTTAGACCCTTTGCCTGCTGGAGTGAACTGAGCAAAACACCGGTGCTTGAAGCTGCTCTGAGCATGAGACCCTGATGGCAGGCTGATGATCCCGGGAGCTGCAGGACAGAGGATTTCTGTTGCTCTGCCTCTACGACAGACATCAGCTGCAGTAGCAGCAGCGATATAAGTTGCTATTTGCCCTAGAAAGTGGTCATTGGCATAATTGTATCAAGGATGACCTGTGTCCATGTCTCTTGTTCGTCTGCATGTGCGTGTGTTTTTAGGTCTCCAGCTTAGTTCCCGGCTCACGTACCATCTTGTACTGGCACAAGGCTACAGGCATGGTACAGGACCTTTTGAGTTTTTACAAATGGAGGCCCCAGAGAGATCAGAAACTATGGATCCCAGAGAGATCACCCACAATTATATAGAAAAGGGGCATTCTTGGCACTCTTGTCTCAAGGATGATCCCATGGCCCCATCTGTCTGTCTGTCTCTGTGTTTGAGTGTTTTTAAATTTCCAGCCTAGTTCCCATAGTGAGTAGTGAGTAGAGCACAGGAACAGAATCGATGGAGTTGTACAATTTGTTTGTTTGTTTATTAGAAAGTTCTGGAAATAGATGGTGGTAATAGATGTACAATAGTGTGAGGCCACTCAGAGCTATGATAGCAAACTTTTATATTTTGAATACTGTACCACAATTAAAAGAAAGAAATAACTAATTAGAAAATAATGTGATTTTTACACATGCTACAACTTGGGTAAACCTTTAAAACCTTCATCCTACTTCACTTAGATACGAAGACACAAAAGAATAAACAATAGATAATTCTATTCACAAGAGGTCCTATTAAATGAAATACATTCATGCTATGTGCATTTTACCATGATGAAAAATTACAATAAAATTTTCTCACCAGAAAGATTTAAAATTCAGCTTTCAAGGGATTTAGTTGGAAAATGGAGATATCTTCCAAACTAGCCTTTAAACAGAAAATGTACAGGAGTGCAGGGAGATAATAATTCAGAGAAACTGAGTATTAAAACATTATATCTCAACTAGATAGAATTGAAAAAACACTAAAACAAATCTAAAAAACAAAATGGAGAATTAGAGGCAGGGCATTGTTTACAGACGGAACAAGGTTTAGAGAAGGAATTTTCTCTTCATGGAGAAGAAGACATGAAGTTGCATGATGAAAACACAACGTGGGTTGTGAGTCAAATGAACAAGCAAAAACATAAGAAAGTTACAGGGGCCCCAGTCACTGAGCCGCCGCCGAGGACTCAGCTGCCTCCCCCTCGAGCCCCCTCGCTTCCCGACGCTCCGTCCCCCCCGCCCGCCTTCTCCCGCAGCCGCCTTCCGCAGGCCGTTTCCACCGAGGAAAAGGAATCGTATCGTATGTCCGCTATTCAGAACCTCCACTCTTTCGACCCCTTTGCTGATGCAAGTAAGGGTGATGACCTGCTTCCTGCTGGCACTGAGGATTATATCCATATAAGAATTCAACAGAGAAACGGCAGGAAGACCCTTACCACTGTCCAAGGGATCGCTGATGATTACGATAAAAAGAAACTAGTGAAGGCGTTTAAGAAGAAATTTGCCTGCAATGGTACTGTAATTGAGCATCCAGAATATGGAGAAGTAATTCAGCTACAGGGTGACCAGCGCAAGAACATATGCCAGTTCCTAATAGAGATTGGACTGGCTAAGGACGATCAGCTGAAGGTTCATGGGTTTTAAGTGCTTGTGACTCTGAAGCTTAAGTGAGGATTTCCTTGCAATGAGTAGAATTTCCCTCCTGTCCCTTGTCACAAGTTTAAAAACCTCACAGCTTGTATAATGTAACCATTTGGGGTCCGCTTTTAACTTGGACTAGTGTAACTCCTTCATGCAATAAACTGAAAAGAGCCAAAAAAAAAAAAAAAAAAAAAAAGAAAGTTACAGGGTGGTCATGTCACGAAGTAGGAGGATGTATACAAATCAAAAGTTCTGAAGTGGGAAGAAAAGCTGCAAAACCACACAGATTGCTAAGATCAGCGCTGAAAGGCAGTGAAGAAACATTCACAGAAGTTCACATAGATCTCAACCAAGATACACAAGCACTGCTTTCTAATCCATCTCTAAGGACTGGTGTATATGAACAATCACAAACCTGACAAAATTCTACAATACTAGACACTGCAACTGGGGGATTAATGAGAACCAAGTTAAAAACATAGACATAATCTCAAAAGGAAACTTAGCAAAATACAAAAAAAAAGAGTATTTAAATCAGCAATTAAAAATAAGACTTTTCAGCAAATAATATAGTACAAATGGCAAACAATAACTAAATATCCATGTAAATCCTGAATGTAAAATAAATCAGAGCTATATCAAAGATGTACAGTCAGAAAGTTGAAAACTCTTAAGGTCAAATCTTTATATTAGTATTTTTAAATGGAGTACCTGCAGAATCGACTAGAAGGGGACCATTGGTGAAAAGGGAAAGAAAGACCACAAGGGAGTAGGCATAAAAGAACACAGACAGAATGAAGAGAAAAGGTAGAGTAAGGGGGAGAGAAATGGAAGGGTATGGCAGAGGAGGGGGAGAGTAGGTAGAACTAATCTACGAATTTTGAGAAAGCTACATGGAAATCTATCACTCCAGAAGTCAGAAGCTGGTGTGTGTGTGTATGTGTGTGTGTGTGTGTGTGTGTGTGTGTGTCTGTCAGTCTGTCTGTCTGTCTGTCTGTGTGTATGTGCACACATACACATATTTAAGTAAGAATTTAATTGGAGTTGTTCATGTCAGAAACTTTTAAGTTGTCAAGTAAAAAGTACAATGCAAAGTATAGTATACCTCTCTTCTACTTGCTGGTCAGCGGCATCTTAGAGACCTTCAGAACAACCCAGACTATTGCCACTGTTCTTGCTTGCTCACCAGAAACTGATGGTAAGACCATATCGCTAATGGCACCACATACATTGATCACAGGACATGGAGAAACCAAGTTAGTACTAACCAAGAAGATTCCTCTCTCTAGCTAGCTTTTATAGTATTGGATGGTACTATGTGGTGATCAACAGCTGTGAATCCCATGAACTGCAATAATGACCAGTATAGCAAGATCTGTCAATGGGAGCAATAGTAGCACAAGTATTATGTGGGTAGCCAATTATTTTCTAGTTCAATTTTAGGCCCACTTCATAGGAGGAAACCTATACCTGATATTATTAATCTGACCGAGAACCCATGATTGGAGAGTTTACAGGCCCTAGAGTATCTACTTCTATTATTTTGCTAAATAAACTCATCACCAGTCATCTCCCTACCATGAATTAGTGTAGTTCTCAGAATTTATTGAAAAGTTTTCTTGTGTGAAAGATGATGGTGGTTAATGCAAAAACTGGCAATTGGTCAAAGTGTATAGAGTAAGTTACAATGACACGCTCAGTTACAAACGGGACATCTGTAACACACTCACTTCAGGATTTCAAACCACATTGGAAGAGGAGGCACAATGATTGATTTTAGGAGCCAGAGGTCTCTGAAGACAGAGAACACAGTGTCTTCTGGATATAACAGAACTGCTATATTCATGAACTCATGGCAGCTGTGGTTACTTGCACCAGACCAAATCAGTCAACATTCTAGTACGGAATGGAAAGGGGCTCATGCCCGCCACCCACCAGCTGCAGAGCTATGGAGAGCTGATGGCTTCTGGTGGAAGGAGAAGGAGAGTCAGGTTTTTAGCTCTTGGTAGGCTGACCCCACCACAGAGAATGCTCTCGCCTCCAGAAACACATGGACAAACTGGAACTCATGGACTCAATGGGTTATTAAAACACAGAAGACATGAAGTTGGAGGCAGTAGGAAGATAGTAGAGAATCTAGGAAGAGTTAAGGGCTGAAGTTGGGTGTAAATCTGTTCAAAATACATTGTCTAAAGTTCTCAAATGATTAATAAAAATATTTTTAAATCAACAAAATAAAAATAAAAGTGTAGTAAAAAGAAAACTAAGTGTAAGTGGCAAAACAGAAGAAAATTTTAAAAAATTTTAAATGACTAAAGTTAAAAAAACTTGAAGTCATGAAAATGCTAAAGTCAGCTGTGGTGGCACAGTCTGTAAGCCTAGTACTTGGGAGGTGGAGGAAGGAGGAACATCAGTTTTAGGCCAGGCTAGGCTATAATATACATATAATTTCTAGGACAGTCTCTGATAGATTCTGGGACTCCTTAAAAATCAAAATAAAATATCTACATAATAAAAACTAAGATTAGTACCCATGATCTGTGAATCAATAAAATTACTATTAATTTAAAAAGAGATCAAATTTACCAAGTCACAAAAAACATACATAATACATAAACACATAATCCTTAGCACATAAACTATAAAAACTACAACATCCAGTACCAAACTCTAGAACTAGCTGTAACTTCATAATTAAACAGCTATTAGTTTTAAAGGCAATGTATAGCTAGAATTATATAAAATATGTCAAAGAACTGCACATAGAATTATTTGCTTTTCCCCACTTTAAAATGAGAGTGAAAGATACAGAATTTTATGAGATTTGTAACATTGCAACTGGAGAATAAAATGCCTGAGCCATCAGCAACAGCCTGTGAAAGGCAATCCTTACCTTTCCTGCATACTGTTATGTTTCTGTTTTCCTCCCAGAAGTTCATAGAATGAGAAAAAAAATATCACTGACTTAGTACACTTACCAGAGAGCATCTTTTAGTTTTACAGAGTACAAAAGAGCTTATTACACAGGCAGTCAATCATTTGCAGAGATCACCCCGTGCAGCTTCACACTGTAAACATCAAATCTCCTTATATGCAGTTGGTTATTGGTTCCACCTTTAACCTGTCACTCATACATCGCCAGATACTTAACATTCAGAACACACTCACATTTCCCACCCACAGGCTAACGCAGCACACACAGTCACGCATCATTCAAGCCAGTGTCTTCAAACTGCAGCTCAAAGTCAAGGCTGCCACTAAAAGGTGAGACTTGAACACAGTAAAGTATATCTCACTTTTCTTTCTAAGTGACAGGTTGATATTTTTTGCCATACTCTGCCAAAAATACAAAGCTATTGTAGTACAGATCTTTATACTATTGAAATGGAAAAAATAAGTAAGGCAACAGAAGTCTTACTGAGTAAACAAATTTTCTAGAGTTAAAGAGACAAAGCAGAATGAGACCCAGATAGCAAAGCTCACAGATAACACTTTGTCAACACCCAAGTGAACATACTGTGTCATACTGAGAACTCGGATTTTTTTAAAGATTAAATTTAGATTATGGCTTTATATAACTAAGTTTATCTTCATTTAGACTCCTGATAAGTCCTTTTACTAAATTTCTAAAACTGATACTAATTCTAGAGATGGACCACATTTAGGAAGGCATGAATCCTCTACACAGACCCTGGATGTCTGCCTGCTTCAAAGTGGATGCTTTTTTTTTTAAAGGAGCAAGGAAGATAATGGGTCAGTCTATTGAGGTCTACCCTGAGGAACTAAAATCATACATGTTTATCAATGATTTGAAGCATGATACACATTGAAGAGCCTCTGGTTAAAACTCTCAGAAGCAAGGTTAACTCTATATTCTATTAATTCATCACAGATGTCTCTAATTTAACCACGTATTTAATGAAACACTCTAGATACAAGTAACATCACTGCTCACATGACCAAACTACTCAATAATGAAATTTTTGTATCAGAACAACTAGGTACACCAAATCCTCAAAGATTACAGGTACATTCTCAACTATGGCAGTCCATTAACATGAAGGTGTAGTAAAATAAAGAAATTCATGAGGTAGAGGTTTCAACAGTATCTGAGATAATGAAAAAAGATTCATCGGCTGGCTTTTGGGAGATTCTATGAAGACAAACAGGCCTTTTTGTGAAGAAAGAAATGAATTCAGACACTGAAAAGGTTCCTTCTGGCTTGAGAGGAAAAAGAAAACCTAAATATTCAAATGTCAGAAGAGATAAATGATATCTTCATCAACTAAGACCTTTATTCAACTAGGAACTTATATAAAACACTGTTGAACAAAAATGTTAATAAGTATTCTGTAAGAAAATAACAGGGAAACAACATTTATAGCAATTCAATCATTAAGTAAAGTTAGAAAAACTAACACAGAGACATTTAAAGTAGCAACAGCAGCAGCAAAATGAAAACCGCCCAGAAGCCAGGCTCTAACACGGTCAAATGCACTGAAGGCGTTTCCCTTTCTTAAGAAAACTTATTGTTCTTTAAATAGACACACTGTCTGTCTGTGTCTGTACAAAGGGAGACCAGAGAACTATCTTGGATGTCACTCCTCAGGTGTGGCCTTCCTTTCCTTTCTTTTCCTTCCCTCCTTTTTCCCTTTCCTCCCTCCCTTCCTAAAAGATGTACTCCCAGTGATCTGGGACTCATCAACTAGGCTAGACAGGCTGATCAGCAAAACCTAGGGATTCACCTGTCTCCACCTCCCAGCACTACAATTACAAGTATGTGCCACCATGCTTGACTTTTAAAATGTGGATTCCAAAATCAAACTCAAGTCTTCAATTTATCCATTGAACTATTTTCCCAAATCCAAATTTTCCATACTTCTTGCTTACAATTACAAATAGGTAACAGTTTAAAGCTCTATAAAAATAAATTATTATTTATAACTTATAAATAAATTACTAGCTTATATATATATTTATGGTATAGCACCAAAGAAAGAATAGCTATTTTCAAATCAATTTTGTTAGAAAAATTTTGTTTTAGAAAAATTAAAACTAAAAAAATAAAACCCCACAGGCTATAAATTATATACCTTGTCGATTTAATTAATTATTTTAGACAGACATTTACTCACCTTATAGCTCGTTCTGGCCTTGAACTGGTGATA